TCCCCTTCCCCTTTTTTTCTTTTCCTTTTTTCTTTTCCCTTTTTTGCGCTCTGATTCACAATGTGACAATATATCGTCACAAACAGAACTGCCGACGGTAAACCGTAGGCAGAGAGGGAGGGAGAAGAGAAGAGGGCAAAAAACGAGGGGCTGTGACAAACTGTTTCGTCGGAGTTTCATACATATATATATCGTCACATAAATATCAGAGCGCAAAAGCGAAAAAAACAAAGAAAAACAAAAGAGATATCAATTCCTTTTTTATCTTCTTCCTTACAAGACTCCCCCTGTTCAGAACCTCTCTTGCGTACAAGGCCGCCCACGTGGATGTAGGTTGAGCGGCGGCTGCCCCCACCCCCGTGTGTCATATCGACCCACTTGCACACGGCCAAAAGGCGAAGAGGCAAAGAAGAGAGGAAGGGAACAGCCAAATCAACCAGAACAGGGGGCAACAAAACAGATCCCAGATGACAGGTCCCCCATGCAAGCACCGCCCCTCCGTCACAGGCCAAACGACGGGACAAGACCAACCACGATGTCAAAACCTTGTCTGCAAAGAAATCAAGAAAAGTACCAAAAAGAACCCATCCCGGATGACGATTCCCACGTACACGCACCGCCCCGCGCTCAAAGGGCCGAACAACGAGAAACAACCAACCACGATACCAAGACAATATCATCCGTTATGCACATTATGGAATGCAAGCTGTGTCGTCGTCTTTTTTCCCACTCTACCTTTCTTTTTCTTTTTCCTTTTTCCCCCTCTTTTTACTTCTAATTGTTATTTCTTTTCTTCTCTTTTTTTGTTTTCGTTTCCTTAGTATTTCTTTTCTTCTCCTTTTTTTGTTTTCGTTTCCTTTCTGTTTCCTTTCCGTTTTTTTCTTCCTTTCTTTTTCTCTTGTCTTTCTTTTTCTTCTTTTCTTCTTTTCTTCTTTTCTTCTCCTCCTTTTCTTTTCTTCTTTCCTCCTTTTTTTTCTTTTTTTCTTTTTCCATGTTCTACCAGAGCATTCATTCCCATTTTGCACATCTTGGTGAGTGGTGCGTCGAGGCCCCCCTATGTCGTGCTTTTCGTTTATGAGTAAATCGTGTTCGAGACGCAAGTCTGTTGTGTGTGTAGTTGTCAGCCATTGGTTGGCTTTTCTCTTTCTCTCTCTCTTTCTTTTTTTTCTCTTTCTCTCTCTCTTTCTTTTTTCTCTCTTTCTCTCTCTCTTTCTTTTTTCTCTCTTTCTCTCTCTCTTTCTTTTCTCTCTTTTTCTTTTACGAGAAGCAGTCTATGGCCACGGTTTTCACTATTTTTCCTTTTTTTGAGTAGTCCTTTTTCTGAATTTGAGCCGTTACTCGATTTATCCGTGTCATCCWTGCGCAGGGCCCAGCCGGGKGRAGGAGGGGGGGGGGGGGGGGGGGAGAAGCATATGAGCTATCTTTCCGCCGGCGTTTTTCCTCCAAATACAACGTACGGTCACTACGAGTGAATTTGGGGTACCTTTCGGTCTAAATACAGTTATAATGACCCCCCTTTACAACGTACGGTCATTACAGCTGTATTTGGGGTATCTTTCGGTCTAAATACAGCCATAATGACCCCCCGTATACAACGTACGGTCATTATAGCTGTATTCGGGGTATCTTTCTGTATAAATACGGTTATAATGACACCCCCGAACACAACGTACGGTTATTACATCTGTATTTGGGGCATAATAATGACCCCCCCGAACACAACGTACGGTCATTACACCTGTATTAGGGGTATCTTTCGGTCTAAATACAGCCAGCTATAATCACCCCCCCTAACACAACGTACGGTCATTACAGCTGTATTTGGGGTATCTTTCAGTCTATATATCGTCAAACAGACCTGCCCGGTAAACCGTCGGGGCAGAGAGGGACAAGAGGGAGAAGAGGACAAGAAACGAGGGGCTGTGACAAACTGTTTCGTCGGAGTTCCCGTACGTTGTATTCGGGGGAAGAAGGGTAATAGCACTGCACTGTACCTCGCGAATCCTTCCGTCGTTCCCGTTCCCTCGCCAGCCGCCTCAGAAGAGCCTGCGATCCTTTGGCCAGATTGCCAATCCCCTTGATGAGCTCGACAGCGGGCGACGACGCGGAGACCTCCGGGATCGGGCTGCAGACCAGCGCCAGGACGACCATAGCCGTCACCATAGCCAAGCTCCTGCTTGCCTTCCTGCTTCTCCCCGACGACGAGCACCGTCCGATCCCACCCAGGCGCCTAAGATCCCTTCGATCTGACCACCCACACGACGGCCGCCATAACGACCCCCATGCCGAGCAAGACGAAGGCGATGGCGGCGAAGAAGAAGACGAAAAAGATGGCGATGGCGATGGCGATGGCGATGGCAGTGAAGAAGAAGAAGAAGAAGAAAGCGATGGCGATGACGAAGAAGACGAGAACGATGCCGATGACGACGAAGACGATGTCGGTGAAGAAGAAGGAGAATATGGCGATGGCAATGGCGATGGCGATGCCGACGCACCTGAGAATGGATCCCGATCGCCTCCACTATCTACCCGGCGCGCCATAGCTTCCGTTGTTTGCACAATTTTTTAGGGCATACGCATACTACCGTAGGACTTTTTCTTCCACTTCTCAGGTGCGTAAATGCGGTCAGGTGCATCCGGGCCGGGTCTGAAAAGCGGTCATTTACATTCAGCAAAGTGCTACCGTAGTGTGAGTATGCCCTGAGCCACGAAGATGACAAGCACGTCACGGTGGCTTGCTGGAGGAGGGGGATCGGACGACTCACGTCTTTAAACCTTTGACAGCTCCATCTTAGTCCGGACAGGAGCTATGGCGACAAACACCGGGAAGAAGAACACCGACGCAGCACCATACCACCATCGCTAGTCCCCCTACTGGTAATAGTGTAATCCCCGTGCTCCTCAGCTATGAAGCTCACCTAATATTTATTCCCCATCCATCTTTCTAGGGGGGCCGAGACCGCCACTGCATAACCAGGACCGGTGGTTTAAAGATCCGCAGTAGGAGGCAGGCGGGACGTTGAGAGGATAGAGAGATTGTCCAGGTGTAGGAGGACCTTTGGGTCCACCCTGTGGACTGTGGAAGTAGACAGGGTGATTACTTTTGTGGGAGCTTCTTTGGAATTGATTGCTGTACTTGGGTCTGTTTCTTTTTGGGGTTGTCCGGTAGCAAAGCCTGCCGGTTTTCCTTGGTTCTGTTACGTGTTGGCTTGGCCAAGTGTCGTTTACCCACAACCTATCCTCGGTAAAGGTCCCAGTGGTGACGAGTTTTGCCTCGCTGCACTACCCTAGACACATGGAAATTTTCAAGAGTTTGTCTAGCGCTGTCAGACTCCTGGAGTGGCATCAATTGTGGTCGCTGCACTTACTCCGGACTCTCGACTCTCATGAGCATTCTCTACTGTAGGACAGACTACACTACAGGGCAGCGACGATTTGTCCACCGAGACCAGACGCCAACTCTCGAATCTGCAAACCGCATGAAGGGACCCGTCGGCCTCGTTTGCAGGCGAGAACTGTGGAAACTTCCAGAGCTCGTTCGATGCGCCATTTCTGACACCTCTTGAAGGGCCGGACCAAGAGCAGTTTTCCACAGTTAGTGCAGCGATGACTCACTCTCAACGTTTTCGAGAGTGAATCTGACGGCTCTTGAATAGAAATCCAGGACGCGGCATCAAGAGTTAGTCCAGCGGTGGCGAACTCCTTATTTTCCCTGCGATGAAGGCTCCATCTATTGGTGGGGAGCTTCACCTGCTGGAAATCGGGTCCAGCGTCCCTATACAACGTTATGATGTGTTTCAGCTGAAAATCGGGTTCAACAGAAGTGTTGTGGGGATATGTCACTCTACCAAGACACAAAAACCTAGCGTCACACATATGTGATACGTATAAGCTGGAAATCGGGGCCAGCATCCCTATTGTGTGTTGACACGTCAACTCTAATCTCAAAAAAGAGTTGAGGCATTGATTACTTCCCTGCGTAAGGGAAGGATTGACCTACAGCCCATGAAGCGTTATCCTAACAAAACACCTGTTCATCAATCCCCCAACAATGAGGTCATAGCAAAACGTGAACCCTAAACTACCCGCCTCCCCTTGGGGCCATCTATCTTATGTTGAGCAATCAAATTATGAGATCCGAGGGGGAAACCCTAACCGATCATATTTCGGTTATGATGCCGAGCAGAGGCAGATTGCCCTTCTCAATTGAAGTTGCGGGCCGGGCAATTTCAATCTCCTTCGACTATCCTAGCCCCGCCCTGAACCGGACAGCAATAAGCAATTCCATATCGAGATTGAAGGGGGGGAGGACAGAACCCCACTTTGTTTCAACCCCAATCCCCTTCCCACTGTCCATGTCAGAACCCGACATCTCACTCACCATACTGATAGTGAAAATGAGTGCACGGTTACTGCTGCTAGTCCCGCTGTTGATGTCTTTGTTGTTGTTGTTGTTGTTGCTGTTGTTGTTGTCCTTATTGATGCATGTACCGTCACCCACGACCGCACTGTCTTCGTTAAAACTATTGATGACGACGTTGTTGTTGATGTCATCATTGTAGTTGTTGTTGTCAACGCTATCGTTGTCGCTGTGGTCGTTGTTGTCAATGTTGTTGTTGTTGTTGTTCTTGTTGTTGTTGTTGTTGTTGTTGTTGTTGTTGTTGTTGTCGTTGTCGTTGTTGTTGTTGATGCTGACGCGGGGGTTTTCATCATCTTCGTTCGCTTCATCCTCCTAGCAGATCTTATCCTCCATATCGTTATCCCCCTCCAACCGCTCCTCAAGCATACAGCACAGGTTGCGACCCTCAGTGAAGAGGGCATAGCAAGCGGACATCATTCCATCAGCCTTCCTCCAATCGATACAGGCTTCGAGTTGGCCCGGGGATCCGGCCCCTCCTCCAACATCCAGATAATATTCAGCACGTCTTTGGTCATATCTTTCAACCATTCAGCTAGATAAATCGCTCCCCCTTCGACCTTTGGCTCCTCATTTGACAACGAAGACAGGTCCCTCACCATCATCTGTAATCGCCTGCACCCCTTCTCCAAGGTTCTTAGCCATTCGTCAGCTCCCCGTTGTAGCTCCCCTGCCAACTCCATTTCGTGAACACACCGTCAAATCCAAAAGATAGGCACATGATAATGGACTGCTCGCTTTTCCCCAAAAAACAACAAAAATTAAAAAAAAGTACCACCACTGCTAGCGGATGCGAAAAAGAAAATAAAAGAATATATATGCATAATATATATATATGGACTCGTTTACCTCGTTTGCGAGGCCCTATGCTTGCAGGGGTCCCCACTATATAGCCTTAGGAGTAGTGGGAGGAAGGTAGTGAAAGGCGAAAATAATTTAAGAGAAGAACATAGTCTAGTTATTAAAAAAAAAAAAAAAAAAAAAAGTGCACAAAATCACAATTCATTTGCAAGTCTGCATTTCCTTACGAAACGCATCCACATTCAGGCGCTAATCCACTACTCTTTGTTGGTGGGGCTTGGGCCTGGGTCCCTGCATTCCATAAGGAACAAAATGGTTGCCGGAAAGGGAGGAACGTACGTGTTTTTTTTTTGCTCTCAAATGATTTTATTGTATATGTTCACATGGCTCTACCGGTGGTCCCACTTACGCTGATCCTTGATTTCTGGTCATTGATATTCCAAATCTGCGGTCAAAAATTGATCATTCGGGTAAGTGAGACTTGGCCCCGGAACTTGAACACGCGTCTCCATTCCAACAGTTACTGGGGTGTACCAACTGGTAAGCCCCACTGTTGGTTTCAGCGTACGTCACATGGGGGCTACCCGGCCCCTTCTTTTTTTCTTCCCCCCCCCCCCCCCCCCCCCCCCCCCCCCCCCCCCCCCCCCCCCCCCCCCCCCCCCCCTCCTGCTCCCCCCTCCATTCCCTGGAGAGTGAGTTCACTAACCCCCCCCCCCCTCCCTCTCCTTCCCTCCTCTCTACTCACAGCTCCTCTCTCAGTCCGTCATCTGCTGTGTATCTTTGCTGAAGATACTCCATTAATTGTTTAACACCCCTAAGCAGCGACTGGAAATCACCCGCTGCGAGTTTCAAAATATCTTCCATGAAACCTTGCTCCAGTAGCTCTTCCTTAAACTCTTGCAGAAATTGGCTTATTCGCCCCTGTGAAACCAACATAACGACAAATGGACAATGCAAAGGACATAAGATGTTTGTTTTTTTCTCACTTCCAAGTGCGGATCAACCGACAACTAACTACCTTCTTCACCCAAATACAACGTACAGTCATTAAAATGGTGTCGGTATTTGGGCACTCTTTCCGTCTAGATACAGCAATAATGGTCGAACGTTGTATTCGGGTGGAGAAGGTGGTAAGCAGAGAAAAAGAAAGAGTCCTTTGGGACATCCATTAAAATTGGAAAGATACACAGCAGATTTTGACTAGCATGGCCCCTGCACAAGCATGACACGCGTAAATCGAGAAATGGTCCAAAAAATCAAAAAATGCCGAAAAAACAAAAAGGGGGTAACGAGGGCGCAGTCACGATTTCAGTTTAAAATCTACTTCGGGGCCTCGAATAAAACACATCCCCCACCGGACCCTAAAGCTAGGTTGTATAACCATTTTCCGCGCTTTGGCACAACATTCGCAAAATCGTGACTGCAGTGCATTTTCAAACTGAAACCCTGACTGCGGCCTAGTTTCCCCCGCGCCGCGCGCCGCCCACCACGACCACCAAAAAAATAAAAAGGAAGAAGGTTTACGTACCCAGAAGAAGTGGAAACAGACAGACAAGGGAAGTGGAAACAGAGACAAGGGAAGTGGAAACAGACAGACAAGGGAAGTGGAAACAGAGACAAGGGAAGTGGAAACAGAGACAAGGGNCCCCCCCCCCCCTCGGCTTGAGCTCCCACTCTTCATGGGCTTCGCACATGAATCGAGAAATGGACCAGAGTCCAAGAATCGAGATTTTGTGTGCATCCATCTGTATTGTATTTTTGAAGAGGTCCACGTAAAGTCAGCACTCAGTGGGGCGAGGTGCCACCACGCTAGCAGAGAGGAAAATTGTCCAAATGCATTTTGCACGGAAAAATGTAGAAAAGCAGCACTGGTCACGTTGTCGACCGGTAGAAGGGGGTCTGCCGGCACACCGACCGAACCCTATATCTCGCGCCGCGTCTGTCACCAACGGGAGGGTTGGTCGGGGGTTTCCTGTAACCTGCACAAACCACGTAAGTACACATCCACAAAAACAAGGACGGCGACGGACCGAGACAAATGCACAAACGAATCACAAGTCACTGACTGAGAGGAATAAATAGAATGTCTCCATTCAGTCCAGAATGATAGGGTGCGTAACACTAGTTCCGGCCTCGACTGTGTGTTTCGTCCCTATGTCTCGGAAATCCGTTTGCGTGCCTATGGATCTAGTCGTCAGCCTGGGCCTAATCCTCCTCCCGACTGGGTGTTGCCTGTAACGCGCACGTCGGTCCTGAGGGACGATGCTAGAACTCTCCGTATCCGAAGTCGCCTCTCTCGCCCACTGGGGCCAAAGCTCGAGGTCTACCTTGACCATGCCTCTGAGGTCCGGTTCGGAATGTGCCACTTCCGAACGCTCGGCTCGGAGTGCGCCTCTCCGGGCTGCGCCCCCTCGTGGAAGTGCCTCCTCGGGATGTGCCTCTTCGGAAAGTACCTCTTCGGAATGTACCTGTTCGGGATGTACCTCTTCGGAAAGTACCTGTTTGGGACGTGCCTTTTCGGAATGTATCTGCTTGGGATGTACCTCTTCGGAATGTACCTGCTCGGGATGTACCTCTTCGGAATGTGCCTGTTCGGGATGTACCTCTTAGGAATGTGCCTGTTCGGGATGTACCTCT